TGTTTTGGCTTCGGAATTAGATCGGAAAGGATCTACAGTGATCTTCAGTCCGGGATTTTCTTGACATAAGGAAACCCTTTGCGATGATAGATGCCCTAATAAGATCGGGTCCTTATATGCGCAGTGATCACACATATTTACGTAATAAACGCTAATTCGGGTTTAGCTCAAGGCGAAGCTCTATTCAGAATAGGAAGGGATTCAAAGGGTGGGAAACAAAGCCATAGTTGTGTACTGTATATGAGTATGGATTACTGTTAGTCATAGAATATCCCGATTAGTAAAACCCATATAAAATATTAGTGGTCCAATCCTGTGACTCTGAATTAGAGCTTCGTGAGGTAATCTAGACCCTAATTACTCGGTCCAAGCCTCTTTCGAAGCCTTCCATTAATAGGGTCCAGGATTTAGAATGGATAGTATTTAGTGTAGTTTTATTACTGTATTAATGTTAGTTGTTGGTTGTTATTACAGTGACCCTTATTTCCAAGTGCTGGAAATCAATTTGTTATTTTCAGTAGTGAATTTTTAATTTTCCGTAATAAACTACTGTATATATTCACAGTTTATAGCATGTTATGGTGATCTGCATCTTTCCATAACTTTTTGAAATTTTTCTTGGCGTATTGTTTACATACAGTATAGATGATTCTAGATTTCTTACATCTTATTAGGATTGATATTTTAGGAAAAATTAAAGCCGTTTTTCAAAAAGTTGTGAGTTCACCATACATGAAGAATTCTGGAATTTACGATTTTCAGGGTTTCAAGGCCTTCTATAATTGGATCTTGTATATACGTAGAAATAACTTTTCACATCTGTATTGAAAACAGCTATAACTTTCTTGCATTGTCTTTATGTAAAAAGACTCTTTCCTGTCACTATCATAAAAAGGATGAATATGTGTTTACATGCACATATGTATTTTAAAATTAAAAAAATTTTCATCGATTTTTGATAAGTACGTATTAATAAGATATCCCCATATAAATTTAAAAAATAACGGACTAAGCTTTTCCAAACTTGGAACAAAGATACCTCGGTAACTACCTATCTAAAATCGATAGGGTTTTTTACTTTAATTCTATATTTTCATAATTGAAAATAAAAAATTCCATCGATTTTGATAGGTAATTACTGAGATATCTTCGCCTAAAGCTTGAAAATTATAATATACTATCGTTATTACCGTTACGAACAGAAATTTGGACTACGCCCTGGTGTTGTTATCTATAAAAGGGTTGAGTTCACAGTAATTTATGAGACAAGAAATTTTCTAAAATAACGGTAAGTATACAAATCTATTAACAACGAACCTACATATTAGAATGAAATTTTTTAAATATCTATTGTTTCTTCTAGAAAATGGAGAAATTCATAATTAGAGAGTGGGCTGAGCTTATTTCAAAACCCATTACTTTTGGGGCTCGAGAACAAAAAGTCTTTAATCATGTTGACTTGCCTGTGGTAAAAGATGAGCTGTCAATTACTTTGCGGCTGAAACTTGAAGACTATGCTTCCGACTGTCTCACTATTTTTCACA